TCTATTAAATAATAGATTATGTAAGCGTATCTCTGCTAGTTAAGAAGCTATAAGCCAAAACGTAAAAAAGCATACCCTACCCATCCGCCAGCCTACAGCTAACTACTCTAAAGGAGTTTGAGGCCTGTAGTAATAGGAAGAAGGCAAAGAAGAGGTTACGTGTTAATAGGAGCACTTAGTCTTTAAGGCGCTGTAGCATATGTGGCAAGACAGGGCACAACAGAATAACTTGTAAGAAAGATGCATAAAGTACTATAGATTAGTACAATATACTGTGTAGCATAGTAGAATGCTGCTGTGTACTATAGTACTGCAAAGTAGTTATAGTGTTGGTGTGGTCTTGGCAAAAGTGACCGGTACACTTGGGTGACCGGCATGCTTGTGGAGTACGTTAGTCCAGAGATGCTTATGAACAAAGCTCATCCTAGAACTACCCTCATACAATGCTGCCCAAGCCACTCGATAGGTTTCCGACTTGAGTGTTTATCGCATCCGAAATGCCGGCCTCTTGAGCCATAGCTGCTGCGTAAATGTCTCGGTAGTGAGGCGCTCACCAGCAAAGGTGTTGTATGATGTGTCGTAGCCAGTCTCGGCGAAGAAATGAGGAATAGATTCAGGCCCAACCTGTAATCTGGCCAGATCCTCTACTCGAATGTTCTGGAGATCCAGATTGCAATGTTATAACACGAAGCCTTCAAATCGGTCGATTCGCAGGGCAAGGTGCGTAAAGACGATGTCGATGTCGCTATCGATGATGTTGTACAAGCCGATCTTAGTGTATTGCAACTTTTTGTTCTCGGTCTTATCGACATCGGAAAGCAACTCACTGCGTTCTGAATGATCGTGCGCGGAGAACCGCGCGGAGGACCAGTGCATAGAGAACAATATCGATGTAAACACAATACTGGATCCGAGTGAGCACTTCAGTGATGTCCTTGTCGCACCATATCTTAAGGGTATTTGAGCAGCGATTTCCAAGACTTATTTGCCCAATTAGCACACAGCCACAACAGGTTGATTTGAACGCTGGGCGGCAACGAGCAACAAGCGAGAACAGCAGGAAGATGAAGCTATATGATTAGAATTGTATAGGTGAGATATCTACCAAGGTTCTCATTCATTGTAAAGGGTGGGACGTGTGACGCCATCGGGAGCCTACACTATTGAGGTGCTCCAGAACACTCAAGCGCAGTGCACAACACCAACGCTCATGCTCTAGTACCTGCGGTCATAGCTCTCCTCTCCGTAGCCACCACCGCCGTAGCCGCCCTGCTGCTGACCATAGCCGCCTTCCTGCCTGCGACCGTACTCGTCGTCATCCTCGCGGCGGCCGTGGGGGGGCTCTCCGCCGAATCCCCGCTGACGAGGCTCATCGTCACCACCGAAGCCACCGGGCATTCTGTCCTCACCGAAGGACTCTTCGCCGCGACGTCCTCCACGGAAGCCGCCAGAGTCGCCTCCATAGCCCGAGGACTCTTGACGGCCGTAGCCAGGTGGTTCCTGCGGGCGGCCATAACCAGGGCTTTCAGGACGGCCACCGAATCCGCCTTGGCTCTCCTCACCATACCTGCGCTCCTGTCCGTAGCCACCAACATCATGTGACTGACTGTAGCCTCCGGAGTGGCGCTTCGGAGACGGGCTCTTGCTCTTCTTGCGCCTGTGCTCCTGCTCGCGAGATCGCGAGCGGCGCCTGTACTCGCCAGAACCTGAACGACGCTTGTCAGCATCGCCATCCGAGTCTTCGCCGCCACTACCGTATTTCTTCTTGTTACGCTTTTTCTCCTCCTTCTCGCGCCTCTTGCGCTCTTTTTTCTGGCGCTTCTCGTACGAGTCTTCGCCACCGGAATCGTCGTCATCGTCGGAGTCATCTTTCTTGGATTTGTGGGACTTACCGCGTCGCCTAGTCGGGGTTAGGATCTTGCACAAAGCTCAGATGGTGATTGAACTTACTCTTTCTCCTCGTTGTAGTATTTGCCCTCGCGGTCGAAGCCTTCGCGGCGCTCCTCAGACTGCCACTCGTTGCCACTCTGCACACGGCGCTCCTCACGACGCTCGTAGCCACCACCGCCGCTGTAGCTGGAGGTCTCGACCTTCTGCTGGTAGCCGTAAGATCTGCCCTGCTGATCCTGTTCCTGGCGGCGGTACTCCTCCCTGCGTCCACCATCAGAGTATTGCGTCTGCTGGTATTGAGCTTGACCGTAACGCTCGGAGTCGCCGTACGATTGCTTCTCGTGGTGTCCAGACTCGGAGTAAGACTGCGTGTAGGATCCGTCCTGGCCGTAGCTCTGGTTGCTGCTGGTCTTTTTCTCGTTGCCACCGAAAGCATCGCCGAGGAGGGAGCCGCCAACACCGGCAACGAGACCACCGACGAGGCCGCCAAGAGCACCACCCCCAGCAGCTTCGCTGGCAAGCTTAGCAACGTGATCAGTGGCTTGCTGGATAGGGACCTGGCTGGGACCCTTGCCGCCTTTAACGTTGCCGAAGTCGTTGGCCATACCGAGAGGCTTGCCGCAGCCGTGACCCTTGTCCTCAACGCCAGGCTTGTGGTTGTCGCCGTTCTGTACACCACGGCGGCTGAGCTTCTGACGCAATTCATCTTTGCTGCGCTCAGAGTTGCTGTCCCACCAGCTCTTTACAGTGCCATACATGATGTTGCGGCACTGGTCGGAGCCACGAACGTTTCCATGCAGGCAAGCAGGATGGTGGAAGACGCCATCGATAATGCGGCTGATGGTCTCCTCAGGGTCGGCCTGCCCATCCCAGCACTCGACAATCTGTGGCACGGCCCAACTGAGGACGGCGGAGGCGATCTTTCCAGCAGGCTCATTCAGGAGGTTAGAGAAGTGGTCCTTGGACAACATGGAGTGGGTTGGGTCGGTCGACTCGTCATCGTTGAAGACGATGTGCTGCTTCTCACGAGAACTGGCGATGACCTCGGATGAACCCTCCTCTAGCTCAGTCTTGACCTGGTCAAGGATGGGAAGGACGTAGGGAGCGAGCAGGCTGAAAACGAAGATGGAGACCTGGTCCTGAACCTGTTCGATGAGATCAGGAAGGACGGGAATCTTCTCAACGAACGCGGAAATGGATTGCATGATCTCATCATGGAACTCCATGATGGGGTAGATCTGCTTGACCATCTCACCCACCTGCTGGGTGAAGGCCTCAGGCTCCTTGGGGGTGACGTGCAAGTTGCCAATAGCGGCAGCGTTGGCGTTCTCCTCGAGCTCGTCTGCCTTATTAGCCTGGTCTTTACCACCAAAAATGCCGTCAGGAAGCTGGCTCAGCAGGTCCTTGATCTTGCTCTTGTTCTTTGTCCTGTCGGCGTTGGTGATGGCACTCTGGAGCTCCTGCAGCTCAGACTGCGTAGTCTTGTCGGTGATCTCGCCGCACACGGAGTGCAGGAAGTCGACACCACCAAAGGTACCAGTAACGATAGGGTAAACCTCCTTGCGGGCCTCGCGGACCTGGACGCGAGCGTTGCGACCAACGTGAGGAAAGATGTCGCGCTCGCCCATTTCGATCAAAGCCAGCTCAGTGTAGTTTGAGTGTGCCGAGTAGTCTTCCAAACAGTGAGTTGCAGTACCGAGCAGGCGGAGAGCCTCGTGGAAGTCAGCTCCGCGTCCACCAGAGCGCTGACCGAGATCAATGCAGCGCCTCAGCAGGTCGCGGACCATGCCCGCTGACGTTGTGATACCCAGATCCTCAGACGCAATGTAGTTCTTGAGGCCGGTGCGCTCATCAACGCTCAATTCGCGGCGCTCGTCGACAGGTCCTCGGAGACGGCGGTCGTAGTCGCGGGCATCGAGATTGTCGGCGTAGTCCTTGGGGTTCTTTGCGAAGTCAGTTCTCCATCTTCGATAAGGCTGAGTACACTTACATCAATGTGCTCCTCGGGACGGTAGCAGCCCAGTCTGTCCCTCGTAACCTCAAACTCTTTCGTACCATAGCCAAAGCTCAGGAAGCCCAGCACCCAGAGCAAAATGCGGATGGCCTCAGCAGACACCATCTTGACGGTGCCCACATCGACGGCCTGTGAGTAGTCGCGCAGCCAGTTGCCAAAGTAGACTCGCTTGACGTCCATCTTGCTGAATTTTTTACCGGTACGGGTGGAGATCAGCAAGGTAAGCAATGTGTCTTCGATGTCACCATGGCGCCAGTTCTGCCCCTCAATGGAACTCAGGCTGGCAATGTTACCAGCACCGAAGGCGTGGGTAGGACGAGCCCAGAACACAAGAAGGAGAAGGCATGGCAGCCAAATGTTGCTGAATGTGAACCCCGACGGCATCGTGTGTGCTATCGTAATTGAAAGAGATGTAGACAGTGTAGGTGTTAGTGTGCAAAGCCTCCAGACACGGGTGAGCTTTGAGCTGTGTGGACCTCTTGCCAAGGGTTTCAGCTTCATGGCGGGGCAGTGCCCTGACGTCACGTGGGATTTCATACAAGAGAAAAGCCTGGTACCTATGACGCTTGTCGCATTCATTATGGGCCTTCATCCTACCAATATGAAGTTGCATTATGAAGTTACAGTCAGATGTGTTGTTGTCGCGTTCTTTCCCCAGATTTCGGATATGACGGGACTTTAGACGCATCTTTGGTCTGTTTGGACCCTGATTTTCAGCCCTCAAGGAGCGCCCCCATTTTAGCGCACAGGTTGATGACAAGAGCACTGTTACTTGCTGTGCCTAATTTATCTGTAAATGCATCGTGAGCTATTTTCCATTTTAAGAAATTGCGAAATTGAGATGGTTCTGGTCGTACTACTGCACGGGTCCTGCAATGTGAGATGTCTGTCGGCTCATTCCCATTTTCCACCTTTCCTCGTTCGCATCCAACGGGAGTCCTGCATCGAGGTTTCAAAGAACGAAGAGTAGACAAATACGGACGAGAGCCTATTGCTTGGAACAGATTAGTTTCAATTCACGAGTGTACAGTCTGAGGGACAGAGCCTGTCCAGGTTGATTACCAGTCTTCGAACCAAGTCCGACGATGGCTCCATGAGCTTTGTGAAAGCGAAGTGGTTCTGTAACGGTTGAGAGGAGAAGCAGATCACGTGTTGTTGGCGGTGGTCTGGTGCCACTTCCTCATGTTGTTGAGCACCTCTTACCTCAGCTGCATCACAAAGACGTCATCAAAACAGACACCGCAGCGAGCCTTGGAGAGCAAAGATACGAACACAAGAACAACACAATACACTCATTATAACGTACTCCACAAGCGAGCCGGTCACCCAAGCGAGCCGGTCACTTTTGCTAAGACTACACCAACACTGTAACTACTTTGCAATATTATAGCATAGTTATAGTATAAGATGCAGCTTTGAAGATTTTGCTTAATGTTTAAAATAGTGGCTACGCTTGCTGTCTAAAACAAAAGGGAAGAAACCTTCTATCGATTTTAATGTAGATCGTACTGCCATCGCAGTACGATAAGACATGTTGACTACTTTCTGGCTAGATTGGGTATTGCACGGATCGAGCAAGCGACACTGCGGTGCACAAATATATAGTCACCGCCAACACTAAGAAGATAAACCCTGAGAATCTGAACCTACAGCTGGCAAGCTAGTAAAGGACTTCGACGTCGCTGCTAGCCCTCGCTACGTAGGAGATTTGTGGTACAATAGAAGCGACTCTTTCAGATTAATACAACCTTCACCCTCCTCTCAATTTGCGCCCTTTCGCCACCGTGGACTTGCGTTCCACAACACACACGGGAAGTCGATTAACAGTGTCCAAAATACCTTCTCATTTCACAGGCGGGTATACTGACACCTTCACTAAGCATGCACAGCAATTACGAAACCATCCACCAAGCGCCAACAATCGTACCAACTAGTACAATGATGGTTAGGATACTAGCACCGACCCTATCACTAGTAGTGATGGAATTGACAGTGGTGGGATCAGCAGGCGCGTTGTTTCCAGCGTCCGGGTCACTTTTCGAAATACCGCCTCTTTCAGCAGTAACTGGACCATCAACAGTAGGATAGAGCAATGCCTGCACTATTTCTAAGGCAGCCATCTGCTCACCAACACCAAAGCTGCCATCATTTTTGCCGTTGTCAACCCATCGGAGACCGCACGACACCTGGTCTTTACCACCATTACACTGTGCTGCAGCAGCCTTGGCTGAGGCCTTAAGTAACGGGTCGATTTGGTCACGCGTCCAGGGGGCGACAATAGCTGTGTATCCTAGCCAGCGGGCAAGGTAGGCTTTGAAAGAGCGCTGGTCGATGTCGCACTTGTTGTTGTTCTCACACGCGACTTCGATCATAACGCCATCCTTAAAGAAGACACTGATTCCGTCGATGAGACCCTGAAGCCTGTCTCTCCATAACTCATTCTGAGTCTAGTTCATGTAAGCAAATGTTCATCCATTTAGTAAGACTGTTATGTACGTACCACATTCCACATGGCAGCAGCACCAGACATGTGCACACCGGCATTATAGGTCCACTGAATGCGGTCAATACTGGTACAGTTCTGAAGGTCATCGGCTCCGTCGAAGAAATTCAAATCTGGGCTTATGAGTCCTACGGACAGCTCCCACTCCCAGGTCTTTTCAGCCCACTCAAAGTACGTGTCATTGCCGAGGTACTTGTATAGACGTGCAGCGATGTTGAAGAAGCATCCATTGGAAATAGTGTTCTTGTAGTTGTATCCGGGGTTGAATTGGAAGATCTGCCATCTGAGCCCGCCGCCGCATGTCATGTCGTCCCATCGCTTGTATTGGGTCTGGAATACGGCCTGAGCAAGAGAGAGCCATGAAGGCCCGTCTTTAAGATCGGGTAATTTGTTCTCGGCAGCCGACATGGCAGCCATGCCCCAGAAACCCTGATCATCGTTTCCTAGTGACTTGGTCTGATTTGGTGGCATGAATGCGTTGTTGTCCCCAATCTGATGCTCTAGAGCCTGCGTTGTGATGCTGTTATACTGGTTATCACCGGTATAATACCAATAGTCGATGAAGGCGTTGAACATGGCACCGCATTCCCACCAGTAGTAAGGGTCTGGAAGATTGCCGGGGACATCGCCCGGTCTGTCACCAGTGTATTGATTCCGTAGGTTAGTGGAGAGTGCCTTTGCAGCTTTCTTAATCGAGTCTATGTCTATTAGTGCTATCCCCAGGCGCATTCAAGACAGCCCCACCTGGTGAGTTAACGTCCAGTTCAATAGCGCCTACACCTGACAGTAATAGACTTGAGACACCAATGGCCCCGAGGGCGGATGTGGGTTTCATGTTGTAGACCTGAGAGCCAGAGTGACGTTCTTTGCAACCCTTTATAGGATGCAGCTGGGATCAAGCGCCAGGCTTGCGGCGACAACGTGATGCGCAACCTTGAGCAGGATGCAATTTGGGACAATTGGTCGGGCGTTTGCGACGTGCCTCTGGTCCGGTCGAATCCTTCACTCGATTGGGAGTTGTCCCAAGATTGACTCGGAAAGATCGGAATCAGAGGCGGACGACGGCGCACGACACAAAAGGCAGCAACACGAGGAGTCGAGGATTATGGCAGTGGATCAAAGAATGGCAATCCTTGGTGTGATGGGCTAGGCCCATGCATGCCCACATGTGGGCTTTGAAAGCGGCGCGGTCACGCCTCATGCATGAATATTAGCTATGCAAGTTGAACACCTACGTGTTCAACTCATGCATGCCTTTTTGGCATACGGCGTAGTACATGTAGTCGTGCCTACTGTGGTATCAGGCAAAAGTTCTGTAGGTGGGGAGATGTTGTTAAAGTTGTTACACCAATCATGTAACCGAGTAGGTACCGTGCCCGTGCACCTCGTAGGACTGTACAGTGTCCGTGCACCTCGTGCACAGTTTCATCTTGTGCACGCGAAAACCACCAGCGGCACCCACCAAAATGAGGCTATAGAGCCACATACAATAGTAATTATTGCGTAAAATTCTATTGCAACAGTCTACTAAGCTCTATAGTGCTTGACTTGTTCCTACTTCTTATTTAGACGTGTGGTGTAGCTGCTGTGGGTGGTAACTGTTAGAGGTGTCGGGGAAGGTGACACTAGGCTGGCGGAATGGGTATACTCCAACGTCCTTCGTGGGTACCCCCCAAAACTTTGTCAATAATACATGGATTCTAGCGAAATAGGGCTTAAAAGAAAGAGAAAAACTACCTCTATATTTCTGTAGTAGAAGGTTT